CACATCGGCCATAATAGTATCCCAGTCTTCAGGTTCCTGAGGCGCTTCGGTGGGTAGCAATTCTCGCAGGTAACCGGGTTCGACACTTGGTGTGACCCGTCTGGAGTCCAGGGTATCCATGTAGCTGCAAATGTAGTCTACCATCTCCTTCCCGCGTACCCGGAACTCATTGACATCCATACTGTTGGAGAAAGGACACTCTTACAGTTTTAAAATTTTAACGTAAGAGATCTGGAGAGAAAAGACAAGTTGGTAGACATTGGCAATCTTGTTAATGTTTAACTGTTACAACCACAGGTTTGGTAGTTGTAATACGTTGTGTTCGTATCGACCATTGTATTGGGGCTACACAAATCAACGTGGATATGTGTACTGAGTATCTCTGTCCTCCAGACATTTAGAGACAGCATCTAAACAAACTCCGATTCAAATAGCGTAACCAGTCACAATCTGCATTCCGTTTGTTCACCCGATTTAACCCATACATTTAACTGGATCGTTAAATGAGCTGACATTAAGAAACAAGGAGGTCAACTAGCCCAAATGCAGGGTGCTTGTTGCGTGGAGAATCCCTGTTGTTCACTTCGAAGGTTTGTTTTCGTTCTCTGGATAGGCTTAGGGCAGATTGAATGTTTTGAGCTGCAGACGTTTACTTATCCAACGGGAGGTATCTGTGGTCGACCATGCAGTTTCGGGTTAAGGTATGTGCGTTTGACAAATTGTGGGTCTCTGAGTGTAGCAGGGATAGCCGTTCGCCTGCCACGTTACTGTACTCCCTGTACAGCCCACCCAACGGATGTAACTAACATTGAACAAACCCCGTTCAAAAGAATTATACACACATTAAGTAGGACTTGAGGTTTTCACGACGGTGAGTCCGAAGATGGCTGTCTTCTGAGATTAGTACGAATTAAAAAATAAACACGCGACAGACAAAATGCAGAGTTACTGAATGTTAAAGAAAACTGTTACTGAAATACTGGGCAGTTACTGCATTCATTTCGAGAGGCCTTTTCTTGACAATGCATTGAAATAACGGGCAGACTGAAGGCCAAACAATCCTACCCACGAAATTCCTTCACATTTTCTTATAAAGCCTAGAACGTTTAACAAGTCTGCACTTTATCGTCACCTTTTAATTATCGTATGTGAGTGATTTAGTTTAAATGCAGAAACCAATCGTTCTATGTAGTTTAGAAAATACGACGTATTATTTTATTTGTTTGGTGAGCAAATAAACTTGTAGAATTGTGTTTCGTTGGAGCGTGGGAGAAAACCATATATAAAACATTTGTGGTACCCGCGGAGTGATGAGCTAACCGTCATCTGCAGAAGTATTGCTGGCGCTCTCAACCACTCGAACCGTAATGAAGGTTCATTGTGTTCCTTCCAGCTAGGCTCATTCCAAGTCCTCATATTTACAGGACCTCTTCTCTCGCCCTACTTGTCTGAACTTCTCATCTCTCTTCCCCCATAAGATACGCGGTGGTTTACCGGGCACTGTGCTTTCAGAGTCGACGCGAACTCGCTTCGACTCTGAGCAGGTTAGTCCAAGCGGTATCGCTTCTCATTTGCATGTGGCATGGAATTTATTTCTGACAGATTGCAGAACTTTTTCCCTTCCTGAATTGAAATTGAAGGACGTTGTCTTCGAAGACGTGGCTTTAACAATATGGCATGGCGTGTGCTTGATCAAGCACCACGCAATCGTGCTGGCAACGCCCAGAAATTAACCAATTAAATAAATTGATTACTGTGTATCACCTGCTTTAATAATAAACCCTATTCGTTTTGCTCACGGTGCATTTATTGATTTTGTATGATTTTCGGAACAAACAGAAATAATTTCACTAAACGGTATTAAACAGTTGATCTTTGAAATGGAGACGTGTTGTGTTTTCTTTGAAATAAGAAGTGAATTTTTAAAATATTAGTTCTGTGCGGAACAATTTATTGTCGAGTTATAAAAATAAGTTTAATTTCATAGTTGTATAAATATCGTCATTATGATCTGTCATTTATTGGGTGTGACGTGTTCCAACGTTGAAGTAATGAATACTTTTAGGCGCACGATTGGATATCTTGGTATGGACCTGTCGCTAGTCTGCCTTGTCAGTCCACGTGGAATTTGTGGTGGACAAGGTGGCACTGGGACAGGTTTCTCTCAAAGTCTTTCGGTTTTCCCCTGTCGGTGTCATTCCACCGCTGCTCCATATCCACTCATGTCCAATCTCGGGGATGGACAAAAGACCCGTTAGGTGTCGCATTTCCACAGAGGCGTGGCCTCACCTCATCGCAACAGCAGCGGTAAAAACAATGCTAGATGAAGATTTCTGTCTTCTGGGTTGTTGCGCTGTGTAGGCTGGTCGATGTTAACCAACGTTTCAGAGGTCATACTGCCTTCGTCATCAGGGCCCTGAAACGTTGGTAAACATAGACCATACTACACAGCGCAACAACCCAGAAGACAGAAATCTTCATACTCACCGCTGTGAAAACCTCAAATCTTACACAATGTTAGATCTCTGTCATCACACACTATTCATGCCCCGAGCGGGATTAGAACCCGCGACCATGTACGGTTGTGTCACCGGAGTGTCCGATATCATCGTTTCATATGAAATGTCCTCGTCCAAGGAGTTCAACCAAAATGTCTATAGATCAAAACCAACGAAAAGTTGGGACCCGCAGTGCTCAGGCACTTGAAGAACGGGTCGTCCAAGTATTGTTTGACTTTGTTTGCTACAGGGCCCTAAAATCTTAATCATTTGTCTGCATGTCTTCAGTGAAGTTGATTTTACCTCACGTCTTTCAGATACCGATGAAGGGTATTGATCTGACGGCGTAATTGCTACTGCGACCTAATTTTTCAAGCGCTTCCGTACATACACGCAATCATCAAGGAAATAGAATCTGGCATTACGAAACCAAATATGTCTGTATTATAAGACCGCATTTCCTTACTGACTCCGTGACTTTATACATTTCAGATTTGTCTTATTTTACGTTCTTTGCAAGAATAATGTGGCTGTCTTGTCCGTTCATGTGTTCACACGCTTGATTTATTTTCAAAAATACTCAACGATTTGTTTTATGGGAATTGATACTGGCGTAAGGGCTTACACTAAGAGCTATGGTATTTTATTTTGTTTCTTATCAGTTCGCTAATATCTCCTTATTTTATAAAGCTCACATTCTGAAGAAAAAAAGTAGCATACAAAGAATTTATGATAGAATCCGTAACAGTGTTTGAATATTTTCGAAGGCAAGCGACTTATGTCCTTATGTAGCGTGTCTTAACTTATTTTTGCTTTTGTCTTGACGTCACGTTCCTTCGCTTGTTCCAGGATTGTCATCCAGACGTGTGGCGTGGAATCTGAATGCTGCATGGATCGTTTCTAAGTAGTAAGTTTTAATGTTAATTCTTCCCTGGGTTTCATACTAACTGTACCCGCCTTTCAGATTTTGTTAGAGATTTTTTTTGCATCGGAATGGACCGAGTCGTCAGGTAGTGAATAAAATGCGCACGGTATTTATTTTGCATAGCCTGAGAGGAAGAGACCACTCGGAAGACCTGGGCATAGATGGTAGGATAATCTATGTACATTCTGTAAATTTCATGAATTGCTTACGACGAGTTAACGTCCATGATCGTCAGATACCTTCCAAATGTATTTCCATTTTAACACAAATTTCGAACATAAAATTTCACAGTAGCCTGTGTGTTCAGGGAATTGAAGGTGATACACGCGTGCAGACCAATATTTGTGTTATGTTAATTTACACTTTAAATCTATGTTTCATTGATCCTCAAACCGAGAACATTAAAATATTATGTGACTACTAGTTATCTCTTACAAACTGGATATACTGTTCTTGTCTTAACTTGACTGGTACTTTAATTTAATACGGATTATCTAAAACTGAGCTTAAGCAGGTACCAAATCTTGTATTATGCAGTTGCAGTCTTTATCTGAAGCGGAATTATTGTCAGAAGCAACTGCTTTACTAGGGTTTTAAGCCACGATAAACATGAATTTTTTATTTCAATTTATCGTGTGTTAAAATTTGTTTATATGTATATTTTTATATTTAATTTTAAATATAACTATACAGCCCAATTTACGCATATCTATTTTGTTATAGAAGAGGTTTTTGTCCTTAGAAACGTCCTATTTAGACGCCGCTTTCTTGCATATGCGCCGTTCGTACTGTACCTCGCGTCTCATTCTGGCTAAAAGTAGAATGCTTTCTTCATGAAAGTAACCTCTACGTTAATATAATTTCTATCGCTATAGAAGTGTTCAGGTGCTTAGTCTTAGTGTGGTATTCTGTTTCTTTATGCTTTCACGTTAGTCCACCCATGGTCTTGCTGAGACGTTGCCACACTCGATGAGTTACAGGGCCTTCTATTAATGAGTCGTGTGTCCGAAAAGCCAACACAATGTAATTCTTAAATCCTTAATTCATATTTTGGATATCCTGGTTTCGAATGTCAGACCGAGGACCTGCCAGGCTTTCGAAGTTTTTTTACAACTAAGTACTACCATCGAATACAGTGCTTTCCAGAAGCTGATAGCGATTTACCTAGTGCACACATTTTCCGCCTTGAACGTAACCCAACAGCCCACCATTAACCCTATCTCACGCCTTAAATTCAATCCAAATTGTTACGTTCAACAACAGTAACACTACCATTAGTTCAAGGGGAACAGTACCACGAAAACATGTAAGGAAATAAGAAATAATAATGTGCATTTTAATATCATCCTCCTACCTACTCGTAAGTCTTTCAGTGGATTCTTTTCTAAGGATTTCGCGTTCAGAGACGAAATATGACAGAAATGTTGATTGTAAAGTAAAATACGATACTTTGATGGATGAAACTCGAACAATCTCGCAGTGCTGTGCATGCAGGAAGACACGACCTACCTGTTGCGCCCTAGGACACGCAGCGACTATTAGCGGAAGTACACCGACGCCGTTTATCAGTTGGCACTGAAGTCCTCCAGCACAGCTCCGCTTCTCAGATAAGGTTCACAGCTTTGATCGTCCACACTCGCACATACCAAGTGGAACGAGGGGGGTAAGTAAAAAGAAACCATCCCCCCAATCTTCCCATCGCTATGTCTGACGTCACGGGGGACGGAGAGCCGTCGTTGGTTGAAAACTCAGTGCTAGGAGGCGTCGTATGTTGAGGGCCGAAAGAAGAAATTAATCGACGGTGATTCGCAAGAGATTCCATGCGCAGAAATTGTACCGGACGTGAAGGGAAACGAGGAACAGTTCTATGAGACTTTAGTTTGAGGAAATGATTAGAATTGGAAGTGACACTAGACTGGGTTTTTTAAGTCTTGTTCCCGTCTGTTTTCTTTGTGTAACCAACTGATTTCTTTTGTTCAAAATTTAAGATCCTGAGTAAGATGAATGAATGAATAGTGATCCTTATGCTTGCAATTGTACGTCTTAAGATGTCTCATTCGAGATGTTCATTACGCCATCCCTCTCCTGGTCTGTTGCAAGTGGTATCCATATTGTTACCAATACGAGCTGTTCCAACAACAAAGTAACAGCTTCCGACTTCGATGCGTTGTGATAACCTTTACAATACGTAGGAATTTTCATGTCATGTTTACACTAACTAATTTAACTTAGTATTTAATCTGAAACTGAGCTCAGATTTAAGGTTCCCATGGAGTAGATAAGAAGATGATTTATTGTCTTGTGGGTTGTTTCGCCGTGTAGTCTAGTAGACGTTTACCGACATTTCAGAGGTGTTTACTGTCTCCATCATCAGGGCGATGTCGACAAACTTCTGCCACATTACACGGCCCCATAACCACGGAGATAAGCGGTATTGAACTTTGCGGCCTAATACATCTTCTGCTTCATGTCGGAAAGTTCTTGGTTCGGGTCTGGACCCAGATATACTCTCTTATATCCGAGGTTAATCCATTGTATTTTCACTCTGTAAGTAAATGCTGGAATAGGCCAGGACTGCTTCCTCCCCTGTACATACAAAGTCTTGAGCCATGCATCTCATCTTACAAAAAGAAAAGTTGTTAATTCTACAAACTATAGATGCTATGTGGGTATGTGACTTGTATTTGAAGAGTTTTTCGGTGTGATGTGCATTTAAGGAAACAAAAGAAAGTCTGCTCTGAGAGCAACCTGCTCCAGTGTCACTTCTTCCACCACGAAACTTCCCTTGAATTCGCCTGGAATTGAATAGCGTGTCCGCGGTCAGATACCAGCCTCTCGTCGCCGCCCGCGCTCCCACTGTCGTCAGTCGTATTTGGGATGTAAAATTTATTTCTGAGGAAAATGTTTTAACCCGAAAGATGTTGAAGCAAGTGTGGGGTGATATTTCATAACGAGGAACGTCATAATTCATTCATTTCATGCATTGGGCTGCTTTAGGATATCAGATATTGAGCCAGACTTTCAACTCGGTTGGGAGGAATAAGATATGAATCTCTCGGAAAGGGTCTACATAGAACAGGGCTGATCAAAGTACTGCCAACAGGTCAGATGCTGCCAGAGGGGTCAATAAATGCGGCCCGCAAGACTTCAAATAAGTCAGCATTTTTATCAAGACCTGGAGCATCTAGAAATGCGCGTGATTATGTAAGCTATTGCATCAGACGAATGTAATCGCCTATTTCAGGGGACAATTCCAGGATTTAATTGGAGGGACAGAAGAAAATAATAGAGAATATATTTTGTTTAGTATCTGATGTTTCATACTAACAGCACCGGGAAAGTTTTTCATTTGTAAAATTCCCACAAAGGCCGGTGATTATATGGTTGGAGCGCTTCAGTCTGTGGCTTGCAACCCGAAGGAAGAGGTCACATAGCAATACGACCTATTGTATGATTAGTTCCGTTGCTCGCTCGATGTTTCAGAAGCCAAGTCTGCTATACAGGCAACTCTCGGTTTACGAACATTCGTTATAACGAACGTCACAATTCATTCAAAATTTCTTAAAGTCGCCAATAGATAGAGTTCCTTATAAAACGAAATGCCAAACGTATTGTGAACATAATTGTAAGATTAAAATAAATAAACTTTTTAAAAAATGTATTTATTACAATAATTGTCAGAAAATTATTATATGATAATTATACTGAACTGTTCTTGGTTAATAAAACTAATCTAGCCAGTAAGGACACGTTGGTTTACATGCCACGCCGCTTACAATGTTTTCTCGTGGGAAAGAAATCAGTGATTTCCACTATTATAATATAATAGGATCATCAATTGCTTTGCCTAGGTTATCTTAGACGGTCAAGTGTAATTCTGCATTTGGTGACTTAAAAATGTATTTTTAAAAATTTAAGCGTTCATGGATCCAAAGCGAAATAGTAGTGCTGATGCTGATAGTAGTAGTAATAAGAGACGCAGCATCGTATACGATAAACCATATCGCATATATACATTATAATAAAACGTATTGTATAGACCAGTGATATTGAACCTGGGGTACGCGTACCCCCGGGGGTACGCGAGGACATTTTTTGGGGGTACGTGAAATTTAAAAAAATATATATTATTTTATGATAAACACTGAATAATCAGTAATGTAATTTATTTTAGATGTAGATTATATACTATGTATAACTCGAATTATACACCAACAACTTTGGGGGTACAAAGTTGAAGATAAATTATATATGGGGGTACGAGAACAAAAAATGTTGAATACCACTGGTATAGACCATTTGATGTTTAGTACATGGTTTTAATGCTTTAAAATTGCTGCTAACGTATACGATATCGCAAAAACTCAGGAATGCAAGATACGCATAACGAACAACGTCTTGGAACGGAACTCGTTCGTAAACCGAGAGTCGCCTGTATTGTTTATACTAAAATCATGTTTAGAGTGACGTCTTTATCTGTTTGTTTGTCTGGGTAGTTTATGGTTTCTTCGTAAGAGACGATTAAGTGCGGACTGACTATAGACTGAGGCTGACGTTTCATAGTAAAAAACAGGACGTGGTCCCTTCTTCCAATTTTTTACGAAATGCCATTTTGACGTCATTGTTTGTTACACTTCTGAAGTCGCCAATCCGTTGTAACTCGTCTTTCAGATGTAATTACAGTCAATCATTTTTACCGCACCCTTTGTCTTTAAGTAAGCTATTTACTATTTATTGCGTGCTTAGTCACTGTCTTTAAGGCGTGAAGTGTGTTATTTGGCGTGGAATTCCATCTCGATATCCGGGACTTCTTTGTCGATAAAAACTCGTTTTATTCGTTTTGTGCTTCTTATAATTACTTAAGCACTTTGACCGTAGTCGGTCGTGATAATGTATGTTAAGCTGCTGATGCTTATGGCCAATTCAAATGTCTCCCCAGGTTAGTAACGGTTGGAGTTCTTGTTTTTCAGTATTTTAAATTAAATAAGAATGTTTTCAGTCTCGACTTCTGTCTCAGTGCAAAACTGAGAAAGAGAGAATATTTAGGTTACCAAATGCATTATCCCGAGGTCCTGAGTCATGAAAGGGGAGGGTGTGTGTAGGTCGGGTGGTTGAATTGTTTCTGCCAGAACAGACGTGATTGTGTTGGCGAAGCTAAAATTAGTTCTGCCTGTAGCAGTAAGGTCAGACTTTGAGTTTACTTACAGGTCTCACAAGGGCTGATGTTTTCAGATAAGGGTGTATAACGGTTAAGCGGGACTGCATAAAAATTAGAATCATTTAACATTTTACCCTGCATATTACAGGATTACGGGATCTATCCTAGTGACCACGCGGTCCGTATCGTGCAGGGTAGCAAGGTACTGAGTTAAGAGTCCTTGATCTTGAGTCTTACTCAAAGCCAGCGCCCTCCTTCACATATTTAGATCCTGAGTAACGCTACAGTTGACACAGTGTCGTTAAATAACCTATTCATCCATCCTGAGAGAAAGACAGTTTAGTAGGATTAGGAAATACCTTCGCCTGTCTCTGGGTTCCTAGTGCAGTCGAACTCCTCTTCGTTCTCCGTGCAGAGCCCAGAGATTAAATCCACAGAAGCACGTGAGCTTTGTAGGATCAGCGCAATCTGCTCTTGAAGATTACATGTGGTGGGCGCACGAGAATAACATTCGCCCTTTTAAGCCGATGGAAAGGAACAACGAAGTGTCACGTCGGTCCGGTGTTCCTGATTCGCCTCAGGAGATGGTCCAATTGACGTTGAGATTTGTTTGTCGATGTTGGTCTTCTGAGTTGCAACTCAGTGTGATCTTGTAGGTAGATACCATCATTTCTGAGAGAGAACACACTGCCTGCATCTTCAGCCCTGAAGTCCATGCTGTGTTACAATTAGAAGACCAGCAACGACTTCCTGTTGACGATAATTACTTCTGTTGATGCAATATTCATAAAATCAATTATTTGAGTGACAAGTAGAGATTAAAAATATTAGAGAGGTTTCATATGTTCACATTTAGTTTTTTGCGCTTAGGATAAATTAAGTAAATCAAAATAATTGTGACAGAGACCTCGGGGTGCTCTCGTATTTCTCGTCTGTTTCACACTATCATCCTGTTTCTTTTATTTCATTCCTTTTCGTTGCCCTAGTGACTATGGTAGTTGTCACTAAATGTCATGCTTCAAGGCCACGGAAGGATTCCCCCACTTCTTACCACGTCGCGTCCTAATTCACCAGCTACGCAGCGAGTTCTGAGCTGTTGTCACTCGCCCGGGCTCCGCTGTTCGGGTTGCAACGTTATACCATTTCTGCCGTGACCTTTCAGCGTGAAATTTGGTGACGACGACTGTAGTCTGAATGTTCCCTTCTCTTCGCTGCCCCGCCATAGTTCCGCGTCTGCTCACGTTCTGTCATCTGCGTCTATTTTTCTGGCATCCCAGTTGTAGTACTGTGGGGAGATAAAATAAAAAGGACGTTTCGAAACATATTCATTTCATTGCTATTCATTACGTTTATGTTTGAGAAATCGTACAAGTTACTAGGAAAGAGATATCTGTATGGCAACAGCTGCATCCTGCGTAAATTCAGTGCGGTCTTTTTCTAACTTAGGAATTTTTTCACAGTATCCATTTTTTTTGGATATCTTGTTTCCTCCTATTCTTAAGACACTGGATTCTCTGGACACAAACTGGAAAGCGCTTAAGGATTAGGCAAGATGGGAGTAAGTAGTTGAAAGGAATTTTGTAAAGTGATTGATGAAAGAGATTTAAAGGAAGTCGTCTCGAATGATGAACAGTTATGGAATACGAGAGCGAGGCACACAATGCACGTTGGGATATCCGAAAATAAAGTAGAACTACTGTGTGACTACTCGAGCCAATATTTAACACATTAAAATGTTATAAGATGATATAGTTGCGTCATATTGTGAAATTTAATTAATTATTCGGTTTTTGTCCGTCTAATCACAATTCATATTTAAAATTTACAATTAAGATAATTAAAATATCATTTTATGTTCCTCATCGAACATAAAATGATATTTTAATTATCTTAATTGTAAATTTTAAATATGAATTGTGATTAGACGGACAAAAACCGAATAATTAATTAAAATGTTATATTTTGCATATATCCGAATTTATTATTTTATTTATAAATAGTCAGTTTACTCATATATTTCCTAATTTGTGTCAGAATTTAATAGTATGTTCCTACTTCTCTTTGGTATAACGCTTTATTTAACACGTAAAATTATTTATGTCATTCTTTAACTTTTTTTGCTAATCGACACTGTTCTACCGAAAACTAGAATGCATGAAGTGTTTGACAGATGTTTTGTGTTTTATCTCAACAGAAGTAACCACAGACAATATCGCGCGACGTGTTGGGGGTTGCGTGCTTCCTACCGCATGGGACGTGGTATGGGTTACTGGACACCGGACTTTATCTATGATTATTACCAAGGTAAAAGTGTGGCCATCTATGAGTACGCGTCATTGTGTGCTGTTACAGACTTTATACAACCCACAAAAAGAGTAAGCCACTCATGGCCATCGTAAAGATTGTCCGCTGCTGTGGAATATAGGCGTGTTGCTCTTACGGGATACAGGACACACCGCGGTACAAAGGAATTTTCTTCTGTATGGTTGTCCACTAGACGTGTTTTCACGTTGTTTCAGATGGCATATAGCGGCACTGTTTTCTGCTGTGAAAGTTAAAGCTGTCTCTGCTACTGATTCACTCTTTGTTAACCGCGGCACTAGACGGAGTGACTTAGGAGTACTGATCACTCGTCTTCGACTTGTTGTCAAATATGACTAAATCTCAGTTTATGAAAAATGCAGTATTCCTATTGGTAAAGCTAGGGAAGTAAACGATTTTCAGTAAACTATTACAGATTTATTTAATACCAAATATGATAGAGGCAGATGGGAACATGGCTCTACACACATTTTACGTCCATCCCCCTTTTTGAAACAGGAGGTGGCCGTTGTAGCTTTCAGTTTAATGAAGGTGGTAATTTGTAATAAATTTAAGCATTTTGCTCCATTAAACAGTATTAAATGCAGTGTCTGTTATATATAGAAACCTTGAAAATTAATTTAAACGATACCGTCGCGGGATAGGAAGCTGCGATCATAAAATACATTAACGAGACTATTGAAAACTCCTCCCCAGAAGTAAAACAGCACTTGACCGCGGGTTTACAGTAGGCCATAAATAAATAAAGTTACCCACTTCTCTTATTTCTTGTGATTAAAACGGCTCTATTTTACTGCAAAGCTGATGGTGGCGGTCGTAGGTAGTTTTATGAACTTTAGGACAAGGCTCGTGTTGCTGTTTCATGGTATTTATTCCAGCATATTTAGTTTAGTAACCAGACTTTAGAGACGTCATATATATGGTATAGAATTACACGTTTCATTGTATTCTCCCATTGCTTCAGGAACTTCTGTTAGGAAAATTTCTCTGTATTTGTGTGAATCTAATAAGTGTATGTACAATTTTACCAGTGCTTTTATTAACTGCTTTTAATACACGATTCTTATAGAATCGTCAAATATCACAGAATTGCAACTTCCCTGAAGATGTTTGAAGTGTTTTAATATTACTTATAGTAGAATTTAAATAAGCATTTTTTCTTTCTTTTGTTAAACTTCTATTTACTGCATGAATGAATCTCATTGGAACATATCTGAATCGGTCTTAACGTGGTTCATTTTTCAAGGCCGAGAATTTAAGCCTTGCTATGGTACTAATGAGTGAATTCATCTCCCTCACTTCATTAATAGAATTGTCACCTTATCTAGAATCGGCGGCTTCAAGACGAGATTCGATGCTAAAGGACACGACCCACGCAAGGGGGATAAAGGGAGGGAGGGGAGAGGGAGAGAGAGAGAGAGAGAGAGAAGGCTTATGCTGAACTCTCAAACATACGGACCTCAATATCATTACTCCTCCTCCTATATTTCTATACTTCCATCGTCACCAACATCATAGCACTGGGGGAGAATGGAAAGAAACATAGTGTGTCCAAAAAGTTATGCAACCCGAAGTTTAAAGGTACTTTGTTTGGAAGCAGCACCTACGAAACTTTTAAGACTGCTGCTGAGATTTACAAAATTGTACCACCAGAGAAATATCTTATAAAGGTAAGATGGAAAATTTAAAGTATAACGGAAGACACTGGCCATTATCAAGAAATAAAATAAAAGACTCAACGCAGGAGTCCCGAGATATATTTTTCCAAAAAAAGGAATACAGGTCGACCCAAAAAGATATTGAAGGTCCAATTCTTAGATGAGCGTTGATGGAGCAGGTGAATGTGTGCCGAATTTTAGTGGGGAAACCTTTTGGAAAATTGTTACTTGAAAGATCGAGAAGGTAATATTGAGATGAAACATTGTGATGTGCGCATAACTGGCCTAGGATCATGTCCAATAGCGGGCTTCAGATTAATGCGGTTTAAAATGAAGGTAGACTTACTACCCTGTTATTCACGTGAGAATTTGAAGAAAACCACGAAACATTTTAGTTGACTTTGTTAGTAGCCTGGTCAATATTCGAACCGCGTACGTCCTGGACACAATTCTAGAGCATTACCGATATATATAGGTAGCGGCCTGCTATGTTACGCTGAAGGAAATAAAAGTTGCATCACAAAATCCAAGCAAGTTTGTGCTAGCCTGAACAGGCATGGACATTTCTCAAATTTATTATCCTTCAACGTCGATACACTTCCAGGGAGACAGCAGACCGAATCTGATATATGAACATGGAATTGTCTCACAAGTTAAATTATGTAGTATTACGCTGAAATTCAGTCGATGCATGTTTCATGCGTTTTTAGAACCGCAATTACTGCGGTTAATATACGATGCGTGTTGGCTCATCACGGAAAATTATAATGCTGGAATGAAAAGATACAATTATCTTCAATCACTGTTGGTACTGTTTTCTGCTGACTCATTTTCTTCGCTGTCATTACCTGCTTTGATGATGATGACGATGACGGAGCAGTTTCTTTCATTCAGTATCAAGAACCGATGGAACAGGTGCTCCTGCGGTCTCGCTGAATTTACTTTGGGGTTTCACATGAATATCGTACAGGTGAAAGTCCTTAAGATTTTTACACCTTCGCGTTTGTTATTTGTCGTGGGCTAGGACATCGTGGCTAACCCCGTAGGATAAGGTCTTTCTTGAGAAGCTAATAGTAGCAGAGCTGGTCAAAACTCGTCCCGAGCCATTTTTCTACTTTCTGCACCATGTTTAATTAAGGTTTATTTTAATATCATTCTCCCATCTACGGCTAGGTTTTACGAATGGCATCTTTAAGTCAGGCAAACAGTTTCCAAACAAGTTTCGTCCGTGTTTTTCTTTTCTTTTTGTTTTCCCTTGGGAATGGAAAGTAAGGTACGATGCCTGAAAATGTTGGACGTGTTTCCAAACACGGCTTCAGCCTGCACTATGTTACCGCCAAGGCAGTTGCTCAGAATGTGGACATAATATTCAGAATCGGCCTGTGTCATTCTGAACATGGCTGTTCTGCTGCCATTTCTGAGAGATCCAACGACTCAAAACTCCATGTAATTTATGTTCCTCGTCACTCCGGCCGATTTGACGCCGCAATAGGGAGAGAGGAAGAATCGAACAATATTAAACAGAAACTATACAAGATGACTGTCTTCTGGATTGCTGCGCTGTGTAGTGTGGTAGAAATTTTCCGACGTTTCAGAGGTACCTGCTTCATCCATCACCAGGAAGATTATCATCACCCTGATGATGGAGTCAGCAAGCACATATGAAACGCGTGTAAATTTCTACCAGACTACACGACACAACAACCCAGAAGACATATCAATAAACTCGTCACGTGTAAATCACAAATGTATGAGAAAGTATTTGTTCTATAAAAGGAAGCCAAAATCGAAAAAGTTAGATGTTCTTCATCTGTGCGGCAAGGGTCCGGGGATCCAAACTAAGAAACACTGAGTTACATTAGTTAATTAGTTGGTGTGCGTTTTACTTTGCGGTGCGATACTTACCATAAATGATGCAAATGTGAGCCCGATGTCAAAGATACTACGTGCTGGGATTTCTCCGTACCCCTGTCAAAATGTTACTAAATGTTATTACTCTCCCCGATTCTAAGGTTCTGAAAGATCATCGATTACTGCTAATATATATATAAAAGAGAAAATCACATTATGCAAAAGTTTAGGAAGATTAATCAGCTCGCTTGTCTTCTCGTAACGTGATATGTGCATATAATGATTGCTTTAATATTTGACGTCAATGTTAATGACACTTTTCGTTATTGAATTTAACCAATAACACTTTAGTTCGGACATTTTACAACAGTACGCTAAGCTTCTTAGATACGCGTGCGGTTTCTGACACTTCCGGAAGTTCATTACTTAACTTGGCACAGGATGGAAACAGGCAGCAGTTGAGACATCCGTCAGGTTGCACCGACGAAGCAGCTGTAACCTATGAAAATGCGAGAGTGGAGCAGTAAACCAAGTTCTCCAGTATTTAAATATGGAAAACTTGTTTTGTCCAGCCAAGGTCGTTCCCTTCTTATCATACAAATGCGGGTATCTTATCAAAAACTTGTAAAGCAGGTGTTAGCCTAGGGACCACATTCTTAATTTATTTTCGTTTCGCGAACCCTCGAGTAAAAAATGACGGAAGTGTATTAAAATTGGATTGTGCTGGCCCAGGACAGGGACCGGTGAAGGGCTTTGGTTAATTCGGTGATGAACCTTCGGGTTCGGTAAGCCATCTAGTAGGGGATTATACACAGAGGAAATCGGTTGCATGTAACAAGTTCCGTTTAAACATTTTTTTCTGACCCAACACAGGAGGAACTTCTTGGTTTCTTCTTCAGAACGTTATCAGAAAAGGAGAATGTTATGTTTCTCTGCTGATGTGACGTCAACGGAAAAGGAGAAATTTGAACATAGCTCACAGTATCTGCATATTGCTAACTAACTAAGTAGATGGCTTACCGAACCCGAAGGTTCATCACCGAATTAACCAAAGCCCTCCACCGGACCCTGTCCTGGGCCAACAAAATCCAGTTTCCTTCAACTCCTATCTCCCATAGATCCCGCCTGAGATTATCCTCCCATCTACGTCTAGGTCTCCCCAGTAGTCTCTTCCCCTCAGGTTTCCCAACCAGTACCCGGTGCACACCTCTTGTCCCATCCATGCGCGCTACATGCCCAGCCCATCTAATTCTTCTTGACTTGATCACCTTGACAATATGCATATTGCTACAGAATTAAATGTAGATAATGAAGAATTGTAGCCTTTCTACAGGATGAGACATTCCCTCTTCAGGACTTCGCGCGTCTGCTGTCTCGAGCCATTTTTCTACCTGTACTTTCTGTCATTCACTGCACCAACTTATCTTTCACTCACCTGGAGCAACATCTGCTGTGAATAGACTTGTATAAAACCTGCCAATCAAACTATGTTTACTTCATTAGTTTACTTGATGTAAATCCGTGTGGATTTTGGATCCGTCGGCATTGTTTGTTCGTCAAAGAGTTCCCGTCTGAACCCTAATAAAAAGAGGATTGTGAGTACAGTGCACTGTCATAAAGTTGATGAAGCCTCAAGCAAGGTTTTTATGCAGAGATTCCAGCCTTGTGAATGACGTCTGCTTTGTTTGTTCACAGGATAAGAAGCATGTCGAACTACTCTCTTTTGTGTAACTGCAATTGAATCTTTCGTACAAAATGAAACTTAGATAAGTGTTCTATATGAACGTGAGGATCACTTAGGATACTTACACTGCGAATGAGAAATGAATGCTGTAGTGAATGATCTGATGTACTTCTCTGTATCACGAGGAACGCGTTAGTTTGTTTGGTGTGGTTCGAGTCGTCACGACTTGGTTTATTAACCGTTTAAAACATTATGCGCGGCGGTGTTCGCTCCATTGTTTCGAATGAGATGTTGTTTTGGATGACAGTACTGAGCAGAGCGTGTGATACGAATCCTTCATACCGGCTTCCGTTTTGCAAGATGCCAATGTAAGTGACATCGTATTCCTTTACGTTCCATTGGGAACGTAAAGGGATACGATACAAGGACTTGGGCTGAATTCATGTTGCTCAGGACAGAGAACAAGTTGCCGGATCTTCGGTTTACATAAAAAGTGGGAGCGACTCTTAGCTGTGATGGAGTTAGTGATCCAACCCACAAGTCATGTTACATTTTAAAACATGAGGAGACCAACGTTTCGAGGTCCATCTCTGTCCTCGTCCTCAGGGTAATGAAGTGGTTGGGGCTCTCAGCAGGTATATATATATATATGACACTGTTGAGTGCCCCAACCACTTCATTACCCTGAGGACGAGGACAGAGATGGACCTCGAAACATTGGTCTCCTCATGTTTTAAAATGTGATAAACATTTTCAGTTTCCTTTCTTTGTCTCCTTCCTACCATCTTGCCCATTCTCTGTATTTCGTGGACGGTTAGGCATAATTATTTTTCGTTATACCACGACGCCCATTCGTGTTTCTCCTTTTTGTTTCCATATTAAAAGGTTTCCTCTTAGTCCCATTATAAGTAATTTTGATTTTGTTTTTATTCCATATTCTTGGAACGAGAGACAGCTTTTGATAAAGCCTGGTTTTCACTTAATCGAAACACCGACGGCCTGTAAGGTTGAGCCCGTTTGGGGTGTGTAGCGTTGGCGTCAAGGAATGTCGCCATTCCTCCCTTCTAATGGCAATGATGCTGTGTCTTGACGCCCTTCTGGGGCGTCGTCATGGCTGCTACCCCATCTTTCCTCTTGCTTCTGCCATTCCTAACGTTCCGACACGATTCGACTCCTCGGCTATCAATATAAGCACCGCATATTCTAGGCCGAAACGCCTCACACTCAGGATCTATAGTGATATTCATCCAGAGATGTTAGGAAGGTTCATCAAGGAGTCGAAGCCAGGTTTTATAGTCGAAATGGCACCTTTATTACGTCAATTACCTGCGTGAATGATCCTCTTTATCCTCAGTTATGGAATCCGTCTTGATATCGTGATAATAGTGTTTTCTTTCTTTCTTTCTGTCCGTTTAAAACGTGTTATTATAACAACTTGTAATCGGACAACTTTTCCTGCGTTTACGTAAACTTTGTAGTCTGAGTACCTCTGTATACGAAGCAAGAGTGAACCACATTCATTTGCGAGTCATGCGACAGAATCTGTTTATGTTGATCGCCCCATTTTCATTGTAATTATTCGCTGGTTGAAATAATCAAGGATACAAAATTAGGCAGATAATACGTTATAAATATTTATACAATTTAATGTCAGTTCGGAAGTAAAAGCAAGGATAGCCATGGCCAAGGCAGCTTTCGTCAAGAAGAGGATCCTTCTCACTAGCAGGTTGGGCTTGGAGATGAAGAAGAAACTAGTGAAGTGTCGCGCTGTATGGAGCAGAGACTTGGACACTCGGGAAGAAGGAACGGAAATACCTGGAGAGTTTTGAAATGTGGTGTTGGAGAAGAATAGAGAAGATCAGGTGGACGGATCGAGTGACCAACGAAGAAGTATTGAGGAGAGTCAACGAGCAAAGATTACACGAAGGAAAGCTAACTGGCTGGGACATATTATGAGAAGGAATGGGTTACTGAGTGATGTCATCGAAGGCCAGGTTGAAGGAAAGCGAGGACTGGGAAGAAGACTGATACAGCTAACCGACGATCTTAAACGAGGAAAGAAGATGAAGTTGCAGGAGTTAAAACGAGATGCTGAGAATAGGGAAAACTGGAGAGCTCTTTTTGGGCAGAACAAGGGACCTGTCGTAAGACAGAACACTGAATAATAATAATAATAATGTCAGTTCTGAAGGCGGCAAGTGTGTTTCGGAGGTGAATTATTTCATTTGAAGTTTCGGTTTCAAGAGAAGGAGTATGAGCTAGGTAGGACCCAACTGGGGAGCCTGGCTATTATACCTAGATAAAGTGGGAATCCCATTGTAAGAAGTAACCTTGGTATCTCGCAATATGAACCATTATGTGCTACGTTAAAGCAAATAAAAGATGCACGAACCTTCAACTGCATCATTGTACGAAAGTCCAATTGCATTTCTTTGTTGTTTTTCAGTGGAAAATTATTCTAAGGGCAAGAATGTGGAGGAGCCACTGGACCGAGACAGCATCCCCATCCCAGATCTTCCAACTGACTTCATTTGGATGCAGGTGAGATTATGACAGTAACGCAGGTATTGTTACTGCGTCTAAAATAACAAGATTCATAACGGTACGACAAACATTTAAGTGCAACATATGTTTAGTTTCATATCTGAGAGGGGGGTACAGATCG